TCAAGGGCAGTGAACATACTTAATACTTCTTCCTCCTACGTTCCCCACATAATAGCGGGAAATAGCCCTGTGAAATGAATTGGGCTAAGAGAGAGTGACCAGCCCAAAGTCACCCAGCCAGCTGTCATGCCTAAGACTGGTATAGAACTCGTGGTCTCCTGGTTTCTAGCCTTTTGCTTTAGTCACCAGATCAAACTGGCTTTTGCGTTGCATTGTTCTTTTTTTTAACACATATACCAGTGTAACCTGAAAAGTTACTGGTTGTAAGATGCTGCAGGACCAAGATAACTGAATCTTGTTCTGTTGTGTGGCAGGCATTTCCTTCATTATTAAGCACCTACTCCCCGTCTTCCTGTTGCCAAGATTTCTTGTCTTGAACTTTGCAAACCTAATTAATCCAATTTTGTTACTTTACGTTTGCTCCATGATGGCTCAATTAGCGCAGCATCAGAACTGTGGTTCAGTATCTAGGCCAGCTTTTTGTAATTGGAACCACATTTTCCTTCTGAAGGGCTGCAGCTGGTTTGGTTCTGCTCAGGCAGAAAAAGGATATAACTTTGCATAACATAGGAAATGAACGGTTGAGAGAGAAGCCAAATTCAATTTCAGTCAGATATTTTGAGGATAAGTCCATGATCTATGGAAGCAAAAGGGAATGAGAAGTGTGTGTTTTGTGGAAAGCACTGTCTTTGGCAGTCTATTAATCATGGCCAGTCTGGGCGCTTCTTGTGCTGTTGCATTAGCCCAATTTTGTGCAAAGGGTCTGGAAAGCAGCCAAGCACTTCAGAATTTAACCTCTTCAAGCCACAAAGCTGCATTTGCCGTGGATTAGACGTAATGTGGCAATCGGGATCATTCTGAATTTTAATAAGTAATAGCTAATAAATGTTAGAGCAGAAGAGACAGTTCTGAGAAGCACCTGCCGGGCTTTGTGATGACAGACTGCTCCAAATACAGGTAGTCCTCGACTTACAACATTTAGTGACGGTTCAACATTACAACGACCCTGAAAAAAGAGAGTTGTGACCGCTTTTCACACTTAATGAGCATTGCAGCATCCCCACAGTCACCTGATCAAAATTCAGATGCTTGGCAACTGAATCATATTTATGAGGTTTACAGTGTCCTTGGAGTCATGGGGTCGTCTTTTGTGACCTTCTGACAAGCAAAGTCATTGGGAAAACCAGATTCATTTAACAACCATGTCATTAACTTAACAACTGCAGTGATTCGTTTAACACCTGTAGCAGGAAAGGTTGCAAAATGGGGCAAAATTCACTTAGTAAATGCCTCGCTTAGCAACAAAAGTGTTGGGCTCTATTGTGGTTGTAAGTCGAGAGCTACCAGTCATTGGCTTATGACCAAATCCCAAAGTTTCATTGATTTAGGAGGGTCCATTTAATAAAACTGAAAGAGTTACCTCAAGGATTGTAAGTTTCTCATTATAAATTATTCCCAAGATCAAAGAGTGTTGTATTATAACAATTATTTATTATATACAGGGATGGGATTCAAAAATTTTAACAACTGGTTCTATGGCTAGGTGGGCATAGCCATGTGACTGGGTGGGTGTGACTTCTTTTTTGGCAGCACCGCCCCACCCCCCTCAGGGTTCAGGGTTTTTGGCTTCCTGGGCTTCAGGAAAGCCTTCTGGGGGGTGCGTTTTTGCTCCCAGGAAGCTTCCCTGAGGCCCAGGAAGGTAAAAAACGGAGCGGCGGGGACTGTGACTGGGCAGGGGAGAATGCAGTCAGCAATGTCATGCATGTGTGATAAGGATTGACTGAGTGGGGAGGGGAGGGGAGAGGTAGGCGGAGAGGGGCGGGGCCAGCCAGGGGCACGATTTGCCGGTTCTCAGAACTGTGCAGAATCATAACTACCAGTTGTATAGAACTGGTCCGAACCGGTAGAATCCCACCCCTGGTTATATAAAATATTTTTGAAAATATGCTTATTTACAGTATTACAGCATTTTATAAAATAATTGGAAACTGAAGATTGAGGAGATGTCCATTTTGGCCTAGAGAATGAGCCTCAATTGTGTAATGGTATGTGAGAAAGACCTCGGGAGAGTGTTTAGCAGACATTGGCAGGGGAACAGTCAGATAAGAGACAGCATAGGTGACAGCTGGATAATGGCTAGTGAGTGGGGCAAGAGGCTCAGAAGAGACTCTTCCCTCTAGTTTCTCAGGCTATAAAGGGAGGACAAGGATTCTATTTTCAGACCTGCAAGATTCTGTCAGTGTCACTTTACAATAAGTAGAATTAGCTCATCTTGTCATTTCAGTCTGTTTTACCCATGTGAGTCTGACATCAGTCTTGCAAGAAAGACAATAGCATTTCCTGTTGTGTTGCCCAATTTTCAGGTTTCATTTCGTCCTTAAAAACCTGAAAATGCTGGAAAAGTAGTGCCAGTCTTTGGGTTTCATTTCTAATTCATTCAGAAAAGGTGAATCAGTAGAGAGCTGTTCTTTGCTTAAAAAAAAAAGTTCCTGAGATAAATAAAGCATATACTGTGGCCTAATAGTCCATGATGTGGGTTTCTCTGTTGGCATTAAAAGCAAAAAGGTGTATTTATTGATTACAGCACAGCTGATATTGTAACTGTCCAGTAAGCAAGTGGTATATAATGCCTTACAGCATGGATTGTTTATCATGGAGCTGCTAGGTTGTATTACTTCTCAGGCTTATGTGTTAACAGCTGGAATGAGAGACAAATCTGATTCCAAAGTATAAGCTGTTTCAGTGTTCAGCATTAATAATACTTCTTGTTGCTTCTTTTACTCTTAGTGTATCAGTGGTGCTTCTTGAAAAAGGTGGGTGAAATGATGTTTTCAAGCTTTTTAGCATTTTTTCAAAGTAGTTTCACAAATTTAATGGAGTTGAACTAGAGGAAGGCAGGTTCCAGTTGAACGTTGAGTGCTTTGTGGCGAGATGCATGGCAAACACATTTAATAAATAAAATGAGTAAGTAAATAAAAGCTTCTAACAGTGAGTCCAGTTCAACAGTGGAATCAGTTACCTAATGAAGTTGATCTGCTCAAATGAAGGCTAGATACTCTCTTGGTGAAAGATGCTTTAATTTGGGTTTGTGCAATTAGGTTGGAGACGGGATCCAATACTCTAAATAGCTTTTTTCTGAGTTCTCAAGTCTAAATGTGAAAGTTGTCGTTATTTGCATTTATAACTCCTTTGTACTTCATAGAATGCCCTGCAATTTAGGCATCCCATGTCAACCTGTAAGCTGTGGAAGTCATTGCCACAAAATGTAGTGTTTAGCATCCAATTTAAGTGGGTATAAAAGGAAATTAGACAAATATATGGAGATAATTTATTGGAGATTCCCAATAACTGTCATACATAATGGCAACAATTAGAGGCAGTGTGCCTCTCAATGTCTGAATGTTTATGGAGATTCCAGTTATCCAGGTCATGGTTATCCCAGAGGTGCTTTTCCAAAAAGCAACTGGACTTTCATGGTTATTTTCCTTGAAAACGTTTCACTTCTCATCCAAGAAGCTTCTTCAGTTCTGAACTGAAGAATGTTCTTGGATGAGAAGTGAAACATTATCAAGGAAAATAACCATAAAAGTCCAGTTGCCTTTTGGAAAAGCATATTTGGGACTCTCAGTGTCTGGTGCTAGAAATACAAAAATGAATTCACCAAGAGGCATTTGTGTTAGAAAGCTGGATAGGCTTTGGAGGTTCAGCAAAGCTCTTCTTTTGCTTTTCCTGAGAAGGGAAAAAAACCTCCATCGGCCCTTTCTAAAGCATTTAAGGATTATAATGATACTGTTGATGTTGGTCCACTATTGACTTAATTTTAAACTGCCTTTTAGAAAAGGGGTCATACAAGGAGTTAAACCATACAGAAATACAAATATATATGCCCCAAAGGTTTTCTCAGGAATTCAATGTTAGAAACTTCTGATCTGCAGATTTTCACAGTAGTATTCCAAAAACCAAGAACTGCCTGATACATAAGTTCTTAGCAGTTTTTTGGGGTGCCCTTATCAAATCTAGGTTCTTTATGGTCAGTAATCCTAGGTTTCCTCATGGAAGTAGCATTGATTCCTGAAGACCTGCTGTTGCAACTGTTCCTTGATGACTGACTGAAACCATTACTAGATGATAGTTGGAGGAGGCAGGAGTCTGGTGCTAGCTCAACAGTGTTGTTGGGCTAACTTAAATTCTTAAGTGAACTATAGGAATTAGAATCCAAAATAATTGGACAGCGATACATTGCCTTGTTATAAATGAAAATGGATGTGAATATAGAAGAACGGGTGTTAATTGCATAAATATTTAGAACTTAAATACATTCAACAATGACTATCATAAGTTAAGTCAGGGGTCCCCAATTCCTGGGCTGCAGCCCACTACCGGGCCTTAGCTATTTGGACCAGGCCACGGAATGGTAAGCGAATGTGTGCATGCATATGCATCCCCACTTGTGCAAGTAGCCGGCGAGTGCATGCACCCATGTTGTATTTGTTGTATTTGGGCGGGCATTTGCTTGCTGCTCTTGCAGAATTATCTCCCCTCGCCGGTCTGCAAAGCCTGAAAGGTTAGGGAACTCTGAGTTAAGCCGAGTGGTTGTTGAACTGGGAATCCAAGGTTTTTTTAGATCTTTCCAGTGTTCTAACCTAAATAAAATGACTCAGGTTATGCATTTCAGAAACTTATCTACAGCAACTCTTTCTGGTAGGTCCCACCTTTGCCCTTTGTTTCTTTCTCCTCTTAATGACAGGAGTCAAAAACAGCAATAAAAGATTTATTGGTGTCCTAAAATTGGGTGCTTGCATCAAGTGGATGAAAGGTCTTCTAACTGAAAAGATATGATCTAATTATGAATATCTTACGTAGTTCCTCACATTAATCTTGAAATAAACGTTGGCACCAGTAATGTCCATGCAGTCATATATTCAGTCACATATACTGTATTTATGTATGATTTGGGAACTGATCCAAGACTCATTCTCCCTCTCCTTTTTTTCCCCCAGATTGATGCATTAGGTAAAAGAAGCAAAGAAGCAGAAGCGGCGTTCCTAAATGTCTACAAAAGATTAATTGATGTTCCAGGTATGCTGACTTTTTGTCCTGTTCTGAAAGGCAAGCATGTTTATAGGCTTAAATTCCATCAGACATTTTCACCTTTGCCGGGTGTTTGGCTGCAGGATGAAGAGGTGTTTCTACTCAATTGTTGCCTTGCCTGAAACACTCTGTGATGCGAGAGAGAAAGAGAAGCATGAGATGCTAGCTAGCTGAGTTGTTAAAGAACTGATTCTTTAACTGCCAGTTTTTCTGTTCATGTTCAGTTCTTTCAAGGTCAGATTTTTCTAGGATCTGCTGTGAGCATGGATGGCTTCATAGCCTTTGAAGATATAAAACACACTGGAAAGTTTATTTAACAATGCACACTTTCATATGCCTCCTTCCAGCTTGTTCTCTAGTCTTGAGATTGACATGATCAGGAAATGTATCTTGAAATAATGAGCCTTGATTCCCTGATGTGGCTTATTATAATTACAAAGGAAGATGTTTTCCTGTGGGTGTTTGGCCTTTATTCCTAGCATTCTACATTCCAGGCTCTTCTCTCTGTCTCTGCTTATAATTCATGTATGGAATGTTCTTAAACCGCTCAGCATAGCTGCTATTTGTAAATTCTACTTGCATCCACATCGACATAAAAGGAATCTAATGCAAGCATTGAAACACTATTTGGACTAGTCTACAGTGCCTTTTTGCTGCTAGAATTTGATTTGAATGCATCCATTAATAAGTATTATTGTGAAAAGTATTTTTCTCTCATCGTTTAATGATTTATGCACCAGTGAACAGTGATGTTAGAAAATACAGGTGGCCAGCCATGATTTGTCTGGATCCAACCCTTCTAATTGGTAGGGTGGGTTACTATCCTGCCTTTATAGAGGGGGAAATATTTGACTAGAGCATATATGCACAACAGATATCAACAGGCTCAGACTATGCTGTAATCATCCTACTTAAAATCTGACTTGTGTGTACTGAGTTTTATAGCTGTAAGAAAATTAGGATGATAAAAAGCTGTCTTAAACCAACTCAACCTTTTTCAGTCTCCATAGCCCAATAATTTTAGTTACTAGATTCTTTCTTTGGTCTCTTACAGTAAATCAGTAAAGCAAAGCAAAATACTAAATCTTTTCCCACACTAGGTTAGAAATGTTAGGGTTTGAACCAAGGACTTTTTAATATAAAGCCTAAGCTTTGCATATACCTGGCAGAGCTAGAGTCTACAGGTACCTTGGCTGGCTCCCAAAATACTCTTTCAGATCCTAGAACAGATTCTATGGGAGTACTTATATATAATTTACATAATAGCAATAGCACTTAGACTTATACACCACTTCACAGTGCTTTACAGCCCACTCTAAACAGTTTGCAGAGTCAGCCTATTGCCCCCAACAATCTGGGTCCTCATTTTACTGACCTCGGAAGGATGGAAGGCTGAATCAACCTTGAGCCTAGTGGGATTTGAACTGCCAAATTGCAGTCAGCCGGCAGTCTGCAGAAGTAACCCTGCAGTACTGCATTCTAACCACTGCGCCACCGTGGTTCTTTAGTAAATAACTAAAGCCTTGGAATATAAGCTGAAATCGAAAGAAGTGACTTTTGAAGGAGAATACTTCATAATTGATTTTATTTACAGGTAGTCCTCGCTTAATGACTGGTTGGTTAAAATTATGATGGACACCCTTCACAAAAGTTACTTGCAACCCAGTTTAGATAGGGACATACACACAAACGTCCCATGACCGCATTTCAGGTGCTTGGCAACCAGCTCACCTTTAAGGCTGGTTGCGGTATTCCACAGTTTCAGTGCCCTGGGATCATTTGACTGCCGTTTGTGATCTTCCAGCCAGCTTCCAACAATCAATATCAATGAAGGAAGCCAGATTTGTTTAACAACAGTGGCAAAAAAAAATAGGTGCGGTCACATGATGACTCACTTAATGACCAAGCAGCTTAGCGATGGAAGTTCCAGTCCAAGTTGTAGTCCGTAAGTCAAGGACTGCCTGTAATAATAAATGGAGAGAAAAGCCCGTTCGCCTATTGGCAAACCAGTTTGTAACAGGAAGTTGGCTACATGTTTTGAGCATATTAGGCTCTGACATGCACATGATGTTGCACCATTTCTCAACTGTTTAAAAATTTAACTTTTATCTCTCCCCTTACCCCACAAATTGTCATTGCTGTAAAAATTGATGGGCCCTCTTGTGGCAAACGCTTTGGCAGTGAGTTCTAATGACCGATTGAGCATATTTATTTTATGCCTGTAGGAGATGGGGGAGGTTAATTCTGCACATTGCATAAATTCCTCAACTTTTTCCCCTTCTGAGAAGCCATTGATAGGACATGCTTAAAACAAATACATAAACCGGTGGACTGGAAAGCATTTCTTGACCCCTCCTGTTACATTCACCTGATACCCTGCTGAACTGGTAATGCAGAGCTTCATATCTGGCACTCTGTCAATTCATTATTTCATAAAATAAACCAGTAGTGCAACAAATGAATACAATGCAAGTTGTTGCCAAGTATTGTGAGGAAAAGAATAAGGGGTCCAGATAAGGCTACCCAGGTCTCTGGTTTTAAGACTTTGGACGCCTTAACAATCCACTTGTGTCCTGTTAAGTACTTGCATGATAAATGTTAGTAAATCATGAGGCCAGAGATCCAGTTTCAGCTTTGAAGTATTTTTAGCTTATTTGCTGTTTCTATTCATCCCCAATCTGAGTTTTCTTTTGTTATTGTTGTTCCAATTTTTTTTCTTCCTTATCCCCTTGAGCTATTATTTTCTGACAATGCCATCACTGCAAGGATAAAAAGGTGGCTGTTGAGAAATATCTATTTGACAATATACATAGAAAGTAAATTTAGTTTATGCTGCAGAAGTTGTGGGCGCTCCAACACTGAAGGTTTTAGGAAGAGATTGGACAACTATTTGTCTAAAATAATATAGGGTTTCCTGCTTTAGCAAGAAGACCTAGAAAACCTCCAGGGTCCCTTCCAGCTATGTTATTCTGCATTTTCAGTTGCCTTTGTTCAATTCTAAATAATATAGAAATTGAGCACCTGATTTAATTTGCTTGTAAACCTATGATATTTCATGATGGATTCAGTTTAGTACCAGGCCTCTTTCTGGGTTTTGGGCAGGCATGGTTCTGAACATCCTTTATATCAAACTGTCGGTTCCCAGCAGCATTTGTAACCAAAGAGTTTACTAATTTAAAGAGTAACAGCATTCCTGTTTTTGAAAATTTCTACTGTCAAATAAGGGTTTTTTTTACTAGCCTCCGCTCCAGAAAGAAGATCTGTTTTGGTGGTAGTAACAGCCCTAAGGAGCAGATACAAGGTTGAGAGAAAACAAAACAAAATTAGAATGTTAGAAAACGTAGAACTGCGATTCTGATCTCCCTGGAAAGAATCGGTGTAGTTTGTATTCTTTTCATTCATGGCTGGAAAATTTGATGCCGTGGAGCCAGTTTGATGTAGTGTTTTTTAAGGCCTAAGACTGTAAACGGGTCATCCCATCTTTGGCACAAAGCCAGCTGGGTGTCCTTGGGCCAGTCACTTTCTCTTAGGCCTAGAGGGTGGCAATGGCAAACTAGCTATGAAAAAAAGTTGCAAAAAACCCTGCAGGGACTTCTCCGGGCAGTCTCTGAGAATTAAACCCAATTGAGCAGAGAGAGAGAGAGAAAAGACATCTCGGAAAAACAGTAACACTTCACCTTTACTATCAATACTCTGGTGAGGATAAGGTCAAAAAAGGATAGAGGTTCTGAAACCTTCCCATGGAATTCAGGAAAAATTTATACCAACCTAAGAGTTTGGCATTGCACTTATTATGGGTTAGATAACATTTAATCTCCAAGGCTGCCAGCACAGAATGCCCAGAACATCTTCTAATTCTTCACCTCCTTGAGCCTGGCAGAGCTTTGAATTTGGCAATTCCTGTCAGGAATAATCTTCCCTCTCTAATCTGGCACTGCCAAACGATGAAAATGCACCTTGTTCGCAAAAGGTTTTCCGGGCAGTGTGGATTCATTAATTTGCTTGGAAATAATTAATGTATCAATTACATCAGGATGCATTTGAATATTCAGAAGCCAGAATATAATTAGGCTACTTGGTCTGCGGTGCATAAGAGCTTATTGTGATAGTGTTTACGAATTTCCATGCCTGCCTCTCCGTTCCTCAGGATGGTTGGGTAAAGTAAATAATGCAGAACAATTGTCAGTTGGCCAAAACTGGTGTCCTAGGTGTGACTCTATCCTCTGCTGTGCATCATCCCTGAGAATGCCCTGGTAAAGCATTCCTTTGCTTATCTCTGGCATTTTCATTCTCCCCCACCCCCATCTCTCTCTCTCTCTCTCTCTCTCTC